TACCATTACTGACAAAACTTTGTTAAGAGCTTTTCATCTGTGACCAGATAATCTCAAGATGAAGATGAAGATGCAAAACCATAAACAGTTTACTTAGATATGACTAAATGCTATTCTGTGAAGTGATTCTGCGATATTCTTATAATTATGCTCTTTTGTAGGTTCCACAGAAAAATCCAAGTGGACTTAAATGTCTAGTCTTCAGAGGGTACAAGGAACTCTGAACTGGAGAGGGATTTCTTTTCTGTCCCAGCAAGAGTAAAACAGCTTTTCTTCCTTCCTTTTTTAAAAATTATTTATTATATACTTAGCAAAGTACGACTCCATATTAAGAAATAAGTACCCATTAATTAATTCTTATATATGTATTTCTAGCTATAAAACAGTTCAGTCAGTTTAGGTTTGTTTTTCATTTCAAAAATAACATTTGTATTCAGTCTAACAATTTACATGCCAAGTATGAACCTGAGGCAATTTAAAACAGTGAAGTTATTCCGTAGAATGGAATTTTAAGTCACCTTTATCAATACAATCCACTTTGTCATATTTAGGATGGATTCAAAGTATATGACCAATTACCTCTTGTTTGGGCACCATACAGATCTACCAAAGGTGACTTGTCAGGACTGCAATGGTTTGTCTCCATTTAAAAATGGTTGAAAGCCATTCCTACTATTTTCAACTTCTAGACTCTTTCCAATCCACAAACACAAAATTCTAATGAACACACTTCTTAATTAAAATGAAAACATCCTATTTTCTAACTTCAAAGAAGGAAAAAAAGTAGCATTAACCTGTCTACATAAATGATTCCAATCACCCATTTTAAAATATTCTTTGTTATGTTAGTTTAGATGTTCTGAAATACTTTAAGACATTGTAGCACAAAAAGAAAAAATATTTATAACTCTTTCAAAGGGTTCCCCAATTAATTAATTAATTAATTAATTGAAACTAGACTAAACACATAGGTATTGGCCAGGCCTACAAATGGCTTGGCCGTTTTTCCCCCCCTTTCTCTAGCTTCTGTTGAAGAGAAGTTTTCTGTCTCTTCCTGACATTTTCTCTCCTATGGGAGAATTCTCTGACCCTTACCACACTTTGACTTCTGCAGAAGCAGTTTCCTTCTAGATCTTAATTGTTTGGGGGTGAGAATGAGTGGCTCATTTTCTGGTTGCATGGCTTTTAGCTTAATTCTGTGTGGCTGATCTCTGAGATGGATTTATCAGTTCATAAAAGCTCATATCAGGTCATGGCTTCAGCGATTTTTTTCCTACAGCTCACTGACAGTCAGTTAGCTCTGAAAGGCCCCACTATTAGGAGGAGGAAGCTGAACTTCAAAAGTATTCAACATGTCACAGACTGAAATGTTTCTCTTGCTAATTTAAGTTAATAAATCTGTTCACCGCAAAATTATCTATGTACTTTTTGAATTCTGCCAGATGAAGAGAGAAAGAAATGAAAAGTTAAGAAAATCATTGAAGGTCACATTCGGATGACTTCACATTTAATTCATTTGCAAATATTTTTAAAGCGCTGGAATAATGTTGCAAATACATGAACTATAAATTCAAAAGTTGATCCAAGGACACAGACATTTATCTACCTACAAGCCAAAACCTTGGTTCCCAAAGGCCAAATCATTTGGAGGCTAAATCAATTTTCATTAGTATTTTTAGACTGTAGAATATATGGCCAAACAACTACATGAGCTCTTTCTTTTCCAGCATTCTAGAGGGATTTACTAACTACATGCAGGAAATATAGACCCAATATATATAAAATTAACTATTAGTACATATTTGTTTTTATCTGACAAATTCTAAGTAAATCATTGTGCATACTATCCATTCATCTGTGATAAAATACAGAATAATAATTAAAAGATTGATTTAAAAATGAAATTGAAAGTCTCCATTAGTTTTTACTTACATGGCTTTTAAAAAAATCAGCCCCCTGGAATTATGGTCAGTAGATATGATCTGTTGCTATGACACCTCATCCCTTGCTTAAGATGACCCCAAAAGTTCATTAATTGTAAAGCGCGTGAATTAAAAAACAAAGCATTCCAGAGGTTAAAAAAAAAAAAATCACACTTGTTCAGAAAGAATGCAGAGACTTAAACTATATAAATTACATTAAATCATCTTGCTTTGTACTAGGTACCTAGCACTCAATGCAGAGAAATATTAAGTCATTTGAGTCATTCAGACTGAGCTTCTGTGCAAGAGAATGTCAAAAATATAGTGGGATTGCAAATTAAACCTGTAAATTATGCTTTTGTGCTAAAGTGCTAAGTCATGTGACTAAGCTATTTTTAGAGACATGAAATGTTTTTTTCCCCAAGTGCTGTTCTTAAAATTGTTTACTGAAACATTCCGCAAATAATCAACAATTTCCCTAGTCATATGAAGAATACTCTTAAAATAAATTATGTTAACATAAAATTAAGTATTCAGGCATCTTAATACAAACACTGTATCATTACTTGGTCTAATAAAACAGTGTTTGGTGATCTCATGCAGGCAGTCTAAAATGTAGTATGCTACACACCTGCACAGAATGATTTATGAATGTCTCTACTGCAATAATACAATATCTTTCATTATATTGCAAAACCTGACAATTAGTTCTACTGGATTTTTCCCCCTCCTCCCCCCCCAAATTGTTCTCAAGTAAACTGAAATTGAAGACCAAACATTTTATTTTAAGAAGATTAAAACCTATTGGTAATTTTTTTAAAATTATTTTGTTTTGAATAGAATACTGAAGCAACCTAGTAATACATGTTGAAGTATAACAGCAGTATGTGTTCAAATTACCCAACCACAAAAGTGTATTCATTATTTTAAATAGGACATTAAAAACTTCCTATTGATCTATTTATACTTGTATGTAATATGGACATTTAACAAGTTTAAATAAATACTTCTTCAAAGACACACACACATTGTCAAAAACACAACTAAAATGTTACTTCCAAAAGACTATAGTTTTCCCTTCTGTGCATGTATAGCATTAATAGGACTTGTGTGTGCAGATGGAAGAAAGACTATATCCAGAATGTCTTTTCTATTTATTTGTGAAGATAAGTTATATACTAAATTAATGCTCTTTATTTTGAAAGAAAGACAAGAATAGTACCCTAATGCTTTTTTCCTCTCCAGGGAAAAGTTTCTTTGACTTATTTTTCTTTTAAGAAAAAACATCTATGTCAGATTCAATATTTCAAGCAATTTTATTTCCCTAACATGGTGAATGGGCCATTTACAGCATGTTATGCAACAAAATAAATAAATAAAATCCCCCCCCCCCCCCCCCAAACTAGCAACAACTTGCTCCTACCACTAAAGAAGATTTGGTGTTTTTTCTAAAATAATGTTGGTTAATATTAAATGGTGTTTTAGTGCCAACATGCAATCATCATGCAGTAAAATAAAATCTATGAAGAGAAAGACACTAAGATCAGATATTGTACTTTGAATTTGAGTGAGCGAGCCTTGAAGAGATGTTTGCACTTCTTTGACGTGATCCTGCACATGGTTACTTACATAAATATCCTTACTGTTTTCTGCTGGGTTACACGTGCTATCAAATGATATGCAGTATTAGTCCCTTAAAGATAAATTAAAACCAAACAAATAACTGACTAATCTAAGTTAATGCTGAAATATTAGAGATAAGCCAAATGCCATATACCAATTTCAGCTTACTTTTGTACTGGGTAGAACAGAGCTGATACATAACATCTGTTTACTGTTACTAAGATTACATCAATAGATGAGAAGTGAATGACAAATGAAAGAAAATTGCTAAGATAACTTCACACCACCTGTGCTTAGCCACCCATATGAATGATTCCCCCAGTGTAGAAAAGTCAATGGCAAAACATTCTATTCACTTTCTCGGGACTAAAGTTTTGCTCTTTAATTGTATATGAAAATATAGATTCCAAACTGTCAATAAACAAGCACACAAAAAAGAAAAAAAAATTAACTTCTGCAAACTCTCTCTCATATGAGTATTCCCCCACGGCAGTTAATGAGTCTCCTATTAATAAACATAAGAAAAAAACCTACTTTTGTACATAAGGATTTGCAGAATTTGGCCTTACTGAACTATATATAAGTTATTCTCTATTACATTTTCCAATTTTAGCCAGTTATCTCTACACCTGACAGATGGTTTCCTGAGAAGGAACCCAGAAGCTCAAGCATTTCTATAACAGCCCATTAACAATAAGGGGTATTATTTACTAAATAAACCATCCTTGTATAAATAAACTTCTCTTATATCTTTATCTTCTCTTTCTACTAGAGCTGGTCAAAAAACACACACTCCTCCCAGAAATAAAAATTTGCATTTGGGGGGAGGGGAGAGAGGAGGCATGTGTGGAATCATTCCAAATTGGGATATAAAGCCAAAAATACAACATTATTTAGAGTAAGAGATTTCTAGAAAAAAATAGCGTTGGAAGAACCAACACAGAATTCTTCCATTTCCCATCTGGAAGACTCTTCAATTTCACTTTCCTCACAGCAAACAAAGTGAAACTGACAAGAGCCAAGATGCAGAAAGAGGGATGCTGGGCCTCCTCATCTTCTTCCAACACAAGGGCTAAGTGCCCCACTGTCTGGCTTGCTTGAAGCCAGAGTTGCAGAGGCGCGGTTGGCCAAGAGGCAGAGTTTGCTGTTGGGAAGCCATCATTTTGATTTTCCTCATGGAAAGTTGAAACTTTTCAGCAAAATTTAATTTTTTTTGTGGAAAAAATTTTGGCTAAGAAAATTTTCGATTGGAAAATTATTCAGACAGAAAATTGTCAACCAGCTCTTCCATCTACATTATCCCACTTTACGGAGTTGTTTAGGGACTTTCCCCACATGCATTATTTTGGTTTATTATACAAGTTGTGATCAGAAGTGGTCCAACTAAAAAGTATTTATTGATTTTCAATTAAAGTAAAGTACAATATTTAATTATATCAGGAAACAAAAACTGACCTTTTTCCTTGCTAAGGTTTAGACATAAGGTGGGTGTGTTCATCCTGTTCATTCTAAGCTGAAAAACAAAGGACTCATTGATATAGAAGATACACAAATTTATATTATAATAAGTTTAACCTTTAATAATTCTCTCATGCCCTCAAATTTTATAAATTCACTTGGGTAGACAAATTTCTTCTGTGTACCCAAGTGGGCTTTTGTTTCCGGTAGAAAATGACGTTGGAGCAACTCCCTACAGTTAACACAAAGGCACATTATTTTGTTTACAATACAGTCATTCTCATTTAACACTTTAGATGTTTCAGAAAATGATCGTGTTAAGTGAAAACATGTTATGCGGAGTCAATTTTCCCATTGAAAATAATGGAAAAGGTAGGGGTTGCGTTTCCAGCAGTGGTGTCTGTTGGGACCGGGACATAAGGTTGGGGGAGAAAGAGGAATGGGTTACAGCAGGGAGGGGAGGTGTTTGGCCCTGGGGAAGGGAAGGGGAGGGGGATTAGGTTGGGAGTATGCCCCTGTAATGGGTCTGCTGGGACCCACACTGCGTCCGGCGAGGGGGCAAGGCGTCTGGCGAGGGGGACAGCAGGGAACGGCACGGTGAGTGGTGAACCTTCCGCTGCTTTGCAGGGAGGCGGGGGAAGTCCTGCACAGCCACCAGCGATGGGCTAGCTGGGGAAATTGTGTTATTCTGGGGATGGTTGTATAATTAAAAAAATGTTCCCTAAAAAAAAAAAAAAGTGCTATCGCGAAAATGTGTTAAGCAGGCACATGTTAAATGAGGAATTACTGTACATGGCAAAAGAAATCTGATGTTTAAGTCTGTTCTAATCAAGATTATGTTTTATTTCGGCAACAGTATTAATAAGGAACTTAAATTGTTGGTTGCCTTCAGTTCAGAGTAAGGAACAGTGTATTACTGGGCTCTTTGCATCACAATCTTTCTTTTGTTCCAACTAGGGGTGTGCCAGGCCTATTCCTACTCTCTGCGGCCTGGTGTACTGCCAGTGGAAGTGACAAACTCAAGGCTCCACTCAGTGACTATCATATTCTTCCCCTTGTCATTTGTAGGAGGGCAGGATGCAGCAGCTTTTTAGTCTCTGCTTACTCTCTGAGGAGGCTACCTGTGAGGGACACTCAAAGCAGCACTCTCAAGACACACTTTGCACTCCCTTAACTGGCCTGCAGCGCATGGCTCTAAATAGTAATTACTTTGGGTATTTACCCCATCAAGTTCCTAGTTGCCAAATAAAAAGTACCTGTAGAAGTCTGTGTCATGCTTATAAATACTGTATTTAATCAAATCTTTTTTTATATGAAACAAATATTTAAGCCTTATTTGGAGGGTACAAGGAGAAATTAATTGGTGCAATGTCCTTGTGCTGGATCTTTCTATAGGGATGAATTTCACCTAAAAATATTTGAATTTGAGAAATCACTGAACATTTATCATGTGATATCTACTTGTATGTATAAAATAAGGATAAAAAGTAACTTTGCAAATGTGGTAATATTTACATTTACAAAAGTAACATGAACGGATGTGTTGCTACTGCAGCAACATACACAGGGCTGGATTAAGACCTTTAGAGGCTCTAAGCACTGAAAAGATTATGGTGCCCCTCATATGTAATTCAAAATAAAAACAATACTATACCGTAAAATAAAATTTTATTTTTCGAAATGACACAAAACTTACATGTATGCTGAAATAAAAATAGCTTCTTTCTAGATTTTCTGATTGCAAAATTCTGGATAAGTTCATCGAAGCTGACTTGACGAAGCATGTCCAATTCCACACACAATAGGGAAAGTGAATCGAGTCTGTCCTGACACACTGTTGTTCTCTGAGGGTGTTTTATTCTTTTCAGTTGAGAAAAAGAACGTTCTGCAGAGTTCTGATTTTTCCCATAATGACTACTTAGACACTTTTTTTGAAATAAATTTTTTCAAAAAATATCTTTTTTTTTTATGCCCCTGCTTTGCTGGTGCCCTAAGCACGTGCTTAGTCAGCCTATTGGGTAATGCAGGCCTGAGCATAGAAGAGTATTCTACTAAAGAAGCTCAAGAGGAGAAGGCTGGAGTATTTTTACACCTAAAGTCTGATGCATAGTGGAAAACCACACTCTGACTGAGGTCAGAATAAAATTGGGAAAAAAAGTCAAGAAGCAGCATATTTTCTCTGTTTTTAAATAAAAAATAAATATAAGAAAACAAGGCATCCTCTCCATTTTCTTGACATAGTCCTTCTCCACGACTAGTTTCAGACTAGAATGAAAATTGTTTTATTAAAATGATATGGCAGTGGCTGACTACACAGTTTGTGTTTGAGGTTTCAGATGGCTATTTCACTAGGACTCTTAGTAAAACAGTTAATAGACTTTTGTGGTTATGTCTACACTGGACATTTGATTTGGTGCAAAAGCACTGACGTTCTACTGTCCGAAATCAGTGCTTCTTGCGCAAATGCTTTGACGTTCCCGTTCGGGCAAAATCCGTTTTCCAGAAATGTTTTTGCGCAAGAGGGCCAGTGTAGACAGCTAAAAACTGTTCTGCGCAAAAAAACCTTGATGGCGAAAATGGCGATCAGGGCTTTCTTGCGCAAAACTGCGTCTAGATTGGCATAGACGCTTTTCCGCAAAAAGTTCTTTTGCGGAAAAGCATCCGTGCCAATCTAGACGCTCTTTTCCGCAAATGCTTTTAACGGAAAAACTTCTCCATTAAAAGCATTTGCGGAAAATCATGCCAGTCTAGATGTAGCCTCTGTGAATACCCTTGGGGCCAATGAGAGGCCAAAGAGCAGTACTGTGAATTGAAAATGAGGTCTACCCACTACAAAACAGAGGAAATGTCTATGACATGGGAATATGGAAAGAAGCATTCTTTAAGTACAGGGCAGCATACCAGTCTCCAGAGGAAGTATGATGGTGGCCAGGGAGACCAGTGAAACTTGAACTTTTTCAGAGACTTGTTGAGGCGACACAGGTCTAGAATGGGTCCAAGTTCTCATTTTTACTTTTGGGATTAGAAAATAAATAGGAATAGAACCCCTTTCTTTTCATATCCTGAGGAACTTTCTCTACTGGCCCTAAATATAGATTCTTGAACTAAGAGCTGCTTGCGAGAAGGGTCCGAGAAGTGGGAC